CGAAAGGAATACAAGAGACCGGGAACGGAGAGCAGCCATGACAGAAAGGAATAGGTATGGCGTGGTGACCCGTAACCTGTATCTGTGCTGATATTTCTTGTTTGAGCGACTGGGTATATTTAGGTAGTCCATATCGGTACACCGAATCCTAGTGTTGAAAGTACCTACTGCTGTACCCCACCATGAAGCAAGGTGCACTTATTACAGAGTACGGGGTACTACCACCTTTCGACCTACTAGGTACCACCTTTCCATTACACATGAAATAGTGTTCTTGACTCGTTTCCGTACGTTCTTCCCTTTTTCCAACAACAACAACAGTCGAAGTGCCAGGGAAGCAAGGAATAGAAGCGACAGGGAGCGACGAGCAGCTGAAACGCCAAGCAATTAGTGAATTTTACCTACGATTCAGAGTAGTCATATTGCAGTAAAGAACAGGCAAGGGGCGAATAGCAGCTGCTCGGAACCAAGACATAAACATGTCAGGCACTCGTTTGATTTTCAGCTGCTCGGAACCAAGACAAAAACATGACAGGCACTCGTGCCATAACACAGGAACGACCGCCATCAAAGGCGAAGAGCACAACCGGCAAGAAATAGGTGAGCTTTTTCCTGAATCAAAACTGTCGCTAAAATATTTCAAATGAGGCAGCCGATTACCATTTGTATCACGAACAGAACTGTGCTTTTCGTGATGATTTTACCGTCCAATATTCTATATTTCGTTCCGTCCGCCGTGTGCTTGTCCCTTCGTCCTTCAGGGGGCCGTTGCCTTTCGCACCTTATATCACAGAGCCGCCTGTACTAGCGTGCGACCACGCTGAAGGGGTGGTTGACGGTCACGACCGTCCATTGTACGCCGTCGATGACGTCCTCAACTCCTCAGTGCTACACCACTGCGCTTCGAGGTTCATCACCAAAATCGCCGACTCTGTCCTCAGGTGAACTCAGACTAAAATATCATGCCGTCTCTCACTCGCATACTTGCCACCAATTTCGCATGAACACCTATCGGAGCGCCCGCCAACAAACACCCTCAGTTTATCAGGACTCCCCGCCCCCTCATTTCTTTTGTACTTGCAGCGTGTCATGCGCTGTTTGTGACTGCATGTGTAAAGCGAAGGACTGCGAGTGGTTGTCAGCGGGAGAATTGCCCAACCGAGACTTGCTCACTGCCGACGCCAAGCTTACCAATTGTGACGCCTTCAGGCCGTTGTTTTTCAACTATCCTGGCGACAACAACAACCTCCTCAATGGCCTTGTTTTGCAACGAGAGGGTTTCGAGAGTACTTCGCCACACCGATTGCGGGTCTGCTCCATCTGCGTGGCGGACCTCCGGAAGAACAAATGCCCGAAAGCAGCCAGGGCAAACTGTTTTCTTTTTTGGGAGATTTCCCGGCAGAGCTGAAAGAGGCCGCGTGGGTTGAGATGTCGGCGTCGAGCCCTGTCAGGCTAAGCGGGACTATAATCGCCCTGGAACAGCTAAAAATCGGCCGTGTGCCTGGTTCAGCCAAGAGCATGATGCGGTCCACATTCGCGTTCTACATGCAGAACTCGTACGCCATTGGGCGCCACCTTCCAGCATACGACACTGACATCGCAGGCTCGTTCGCTTGCATTGTCGTTGGTAGCAAGAAACCAACGGCCGCCCAGCTTCAACGTTTCTTTGGGGCACGAAAATCCATCGTTAGAGCGCTTCTTGACTACCAGCTAGACAGAGAGAACACCTTGATCGGAATTCACAAGCTCGCCCGAGAAGCTCAGGTATCCGAAGCCAACCTTCAGGGGTATCCGGAGGACGGGTCCATTCCGCAAGCTATTCAAGACGCCCTTATCTCTGTCACTGATAGAGGAAACACCGTCGCAGCAGCTCGATCCACGCACGCAACACGGCAATCGTGAACCTGAGCAGCCTGTCGGTGGTACTAGCGGTAGTGATGGACAACGCGACGGAGAGGATTCGGACAGACAGGGTAGCGGTGATGTCAACGGCGCCGATGACGACGACCGCGTACTCCCTCCGTGTGTGATTGAAACCAAAGCCGTCATGCCTTCAGGGAGCGATCTTGCCAAATCGTCCCAGTACAGGCCTACTAGGCTACGAGCGTTGCAAGCGGAGTTAAATTCGTCCGACTCCACGGAACCTTCGTCTCTTGCGCAGCATGCAAACGCGGAAGCTGCTGCTGCCGCTGGCTTGGCTCCGCCCGTGCTTCCTCGCAATGCCATGATCATCACGCACACCGGTCAAATGGTGTCTGACTTTTACGACGAAGGATTGTTCGCGGCAGCCTTTTTTTATCTCTTTCCGCACGGAATCGGGGGGCACTTGGACGAAAGAAGGAGGAATATAAGTTTCCAGGAGTGGGCGCAAATTTTACTGCGGTAACGAGATCCGCGCTTCAGGAAGCACAAGAGCTTTTTGTTCTGTGTCTGCGCGCTTATTTTCAGGCGAGAAGCCATCAAGAACGCTCGTTGGAAACTGACTGGCAGGGTGTCCAGGCGCACAGCCGAAACGCTTGCTACAATTACCCCGGAGGATTTGGCTGCTGCTGCGAAGGAAATGGAGCAGGGCAGCAGTGTATGGTCTGCCTTGGCCAACCGTAATGCTGTTCGCACGTTGCTCACGATCATGGAATCCGTGCACGCCGGCTCATCGTGGACCATCTACAACAAAAGGTCTACAAGGATGATCGCCATCTCGCTTATTATGCAGATTGGATAACCGCTGTGGTGGATGACGATGAGTCCTGCTGACACAACAGCCCCATCGTTTCGAAACTGGCTGGCGTCAACATCGATGTGACAAGTCGCTTGATCCAAGATTATCCTGACTACTCCAAGCGCCTTCGACTGGTAGCGAGCGACCCCGTGACTTCCGCTCTCTCTTACCACTCGGTCACCGACGCGGTCCTCACCTGCCTGCTTCGATTCGATGCGCATGATTGAGATGGGGGAGTACTTGGGCGCGTCAAAGGTGAGTCTTCTCTTTTTTCCTTCCTAATCTGTACGAGATAGCACCTCTTCCTATTCCTAGTGAATACGTGGAATTCCTCACAATTGCACCTATTATTGCTGTTCGTTGGGCATACCTTGACCTTAAATATTTTAATTCCCTGCTGTCCATGTTATTTCCTTTGTGCCTGTTAATAACCAAGATGTCTGGGCATGACCGAAGAACAACGCCGCCTTATGCTCCATTTCCAAGTCCTGGTACGGGTGTACGGTTTCAACGACTTTTCCAGCTTTCGCGATCTTATGGACAAGCGTCCGGAGAAGTACAACAAGCTTGCTCGGTTCTTGGAACGAGTCATCTTCAACCATGTTGCCTCTTTCGGGGATGTCAACCTCGCCATGCACGGACACGACCATACGCCCAGATCTTCGAGCGGACCCGAACCGGAGATCGTATCTGATCCACTCGTGCGTCCCGCTAAAGAGAGAATGGCCCAACCACCACCAACAGCATGCTTACCCCGTGAAGGCGTCGAGCGTTGTCCCGTCCACGACGACAGCTACGCCCGTCTCATGTACCTCGACCTTGCGGAACTGGTTCCTGGGGCGCAGTTACATCGCTGCCAACGAACTTGCCACAAATTCAACAACAGGGACAAGTGCAGGTGCGAAATGTCCTTCTCTCCGTTCGAACTAAAGTACATAATTTAGACCCAGCTCCGTGATCAATCTTTGTAGGTAGTTGTATACACTTCATGTTGATGTCGCACTTTGTTCATCTTTTCCAACTGTAGTATGTGTGTGTGTTTATAGTCGTGTTGCAACCAGGTTGGGTATGGAGACAAGGGCAGATCTTTCGAGCAGGAAACTACCGTGGTCAGGTGTCCCTGTACGTTCCACATCAACGGCAGCATGACCATCAACGGAGTTGTCTATCCCCCGGGAGATCCGTCGACGGCAGAAGGTATGGTCGCTGCTCAGGCGTTTCAGGACGCTTTCAACGAGTGCGTCTCTGCAGCTTCTGAGCCCGAGTCCGACCGCTTCACGGCCACCTTTCGCCGCCTGAGCACCCACATCAACCCCTACAACCCCATCATCCACTTCCTCATTCGTTCCAACATGGACTTGAAAGTAATGCTCCGAGATTCCGACGCGAAGGGACTGCTGTTCTATGTGCTTCATTACTCGACAAATCGGAGCAGACGTTGGACGTGTTGTTGCCACTACTCTTGCCCGTCGTACAACGAATAAGAGACGAGAACGAAGGAGAGCCAGCCGAAGAGACGGCGGTGCGACTCGTGAGATCTTGCCTTTGCAAGCAACTCACAAGCCTCAACATTGGCGGGCCGGCTGCAGCGAGCAAGGTTTTCGGCTTGCATGATGCCAAAATCTCACACACCACAGCGCCCTGCCCAATGGGGCCGTTGCTTGCATGGGCATCGTCTAGAGACACTCCAGATGAAGAACCCGAAGATGGCGACTCCACCAGCGGCAACGACCAAGAGGACTCTGGCGATGAGGCATCGGATGATCAACACGGAGTTGTCGTATCGGCCGTAGGTGGTCGCCTGACGGTGAACCAAAGGGCTCACGTTCTCTACCTCCACCGGTGCTCCCCTCAAGATACGGAGCATGCCCTTCACGGTATGTCGTACGTCTCGTGTGGCCGACTGTTACGACGGAAAGGTCATCACTCTCCGAAATATGGTAAATCACTCCCTATAGACTCTCGTTTGAGGTGACTAATAGAGACGTGGATGCGTTCAAATCTGTGCGGGTATTCCATTACGCGCTTCCTTCTCTCCCCACGTTTGGCAAACGCGCCACAGCCAGTGCATCTCTCCTTTTTTCTGACTTGCCATGACAGGGGAATGCTGTTGCCACATAGTCCTCGCAGCAGTCTAAACAGTTCGATACTACTTTGGATGTGTTTGCTAATGTTACCACTGGATTATGCCCGGCACAGGTAACCACAGCTCTTACCATGCCCAAGATGCGAACGTGGTGCCAAGCCCGAGGTACTACTCTTTTCATCTCGCCTGCCACGGATGAATTCGTCGGGGATGAGCGTCGTGGCCGACCAAAAGAGGTGAGTGATTCAGCGTTGTCTCTTCCCCCGTGCCAAATGCATTCTGGTTTCTTCCAAGTACCTACTTCTACTTCTCCTTCCCTTTCCTCCCCGTTGAAAGACTGTATGCTTTGCGGCAGGTTCACCAACATATGGTGTAGTAATAGGTTGAAGTTCCGAGAATGAAAACATACCAGGATGCATCATGCAGGGTCCACAGTATCTAGTTCGTTTGCGAATGACAGCAAGTGGGTACAAAGTGGGTACAAATTCAGACAACCAATTGCATCACCGCACGATTCTCGGTTTTTCGCACTCTCAGACTCCGCAAGTAGGGGCCGTTTGGCCTCCAGGTCTCAGGAGCGAGGTGAATCCCCTCGACGATGCGAAAACGAAAGGCCTTCCGCGCCAACTTTGTCTCGCTGTCGGTATCCCTATCGTCGTTTACAAGAGCCCGCAGCACGTCCTCTTGGGAGTCTGCAACAACAGTGATGGTATCGTTCGGGCCATTGAGCTATACCAGCGCGAGCAGGTCCAAAACCATAATGACGGCTACAGGGTGGTTCACCTCAAGTACCCCCCTGTTCGGGTATTCGTCCACATCGAATCTGCGGACGACGCTGGCCTCAAACTGCCAGGTCTCCCGCGTGGGGTCGTCGCCTTCGGCCCGGTCGAACGAAACTTTGTCCTCACCGGAAACAACGGCCGAAAGTTCACCATCAAACGGCGACAACTTCCGCTTACGTCCGGTTGCCTGTCCTCCGTGTATTGAGTGCAGGGGCTCATTCTCACAGGCTGATTCTTATCGATCCGTTTTTTTTTTCACCGATTCGTAATTTTTAACACGGAACCGGTTCCGGGTTTTCCATTGGTTCTAATTGGGAGAGGCGCGCCGTTTTTTAAAAATCCCGGAAAGCGTCGATGCCGACGTACACACACCGGTCACGACCAGGCGAGAGGCCCGAGGCATACCACAGCAGACGCGATAAACCCACACCATGAACAACAACGCCGTAGCAGCGGCAGGCCGCCCATCTAGAGTGAAATCGTTGCCTCTGAGACTGCAGGATGCAGGTGAAAGTGGTGCTGCTGCTGGGCATGGCGTCGCCCAGACCGCGCCTGCTGGCGCGGCACAGCGGGCACCGAGCGGCATGGCCCGCCAGGCCGTTCACAGCAGGGTTACCCCCCATACCGGTACACAACAGGGGGTTCCACCTGGCGCGGTGATCGTGCCGGGCTTCTCGACGACGCTGATCGGCAAGCTCGTCAGGCGGCCTTAGTAAAGGTTCTCAAAGACAAGCGATTTGGCGATGCCCCACAAAAAAATTGGACCGAGTCGGAGAGCGGCGACGACGACGACGAGGGGGGGGGACAACCCGTCGTCAAGTGGCAGCAGCAATGTGTCGGTAGAGGACAGTTCAGCTCCGTCGGACATTGGCTCACAGTCGGGAGATGTCGTGTTCGGAAAGGGAATTCGGGAAGCAATGACCGGGGGAGGGGGAGCGGGCACGAGGACCACAAACCACGGCAAGCGAAAGGCGAGCGCCGGCGGCAGCGTCGTAGGGAAAAACAAAGCAGCAGCATCCCATCACGCGAGTGCCAAAAAAGCCCGGGGCAAGGAATTGAACGCAGTGTGCGCAGAGGAAACAAAACAAATTACTGCTGTGTGTGTGTAGTGCCCGCTTCAAATCAACCTAAGTATATGTACAGTAGCAGGTATACGGCATGCTCGAGAGCTGTTTTATATGCCCCAGTAGGTAGGATATTGAAGGCACTCACAGCGTACCACACGGCATGCTTTCTTGACGATATGCAATCGGTGGTGCACCGACCAATACGGTAAATCTTTGGGTGTTCTGCCCTCTCACGCCCAGAGGAAGCAAGGTAAGGTGAACAATGTTTTGTGGAGGACAGTCATTAGGATATTAGGATATTAGGAATATGTAGTATTGCCAAACTTGGGCGCGTACACCTGAGGTTTCCTCTCATGCGAAGGCGTATTCATTGTCTGGGCCGCTTTCTCATATCCGGGCGTTCGCGCAGTAGTTGTTGCTGACGCCGACGACCATACTGCTGTAGATACTGCTGTAGTTGCTTCGTTGCCTACTATAGTGAAAGACATTGAAAACGCGCTGAATTTTTTTTTAAGAATGCACTGATAGCCAGACAATACTTTATGCCAGAAGAAAAATTACAGGCCGGGAACAGACCGACATTGGGCCTTCCCGCAAGAGAGGTGGATTCCCCCCGTTCATTTTTTTTTTCGTATCGAAATCGAGTTCAATTTCTCGCACGTCCGGGGGGCGTCATCTTTGTAGGTAGGTACAGAGAACACGTGTATGATCTGGGTTGCCCCTTCCCTCGCTCCCTCGCTGTATGCCTGACCCATGGGTGCTGTGGACGTTTTTCAGGTGAGAAAAATCGTGGACGACGAACAAGTGAGTCACGTCAACCCGAACATCATCCAGCAACCTAACATCTCGGCGAAAAAGATCACCAAGATGTGGTCTGCGGCAAAGGCGAAATGGAACACGCCTAATGCCAACGGAAGAAGAGTGAATCCGGCAACAACCAGCCATGGCTGTCATTTTGCCAAGGTAAGAGATGGGTGACGTAGGGCTGGGTATAAAACAGCGTCTGTATTCTCCAGGAACCTTGGGCGATTTTGTGGCCGTGGCGTCTATTGCGCCGATCGTACTTCAGCGTGTAAGTGCTGCTACGGTCGGAGTTTTGATATTGCACTTGGAGTTGTCGACAGTGTTGTAAAACGTACTCCCGGGATGACGTCCACCTCGAGGCTTGATTGAAAAGGATTGTCTGCACCATGAACTTTTATCGTGTATTTTGAAGCAAGACCAAACACCTTTCCGATTGCTCCATACAGACCCTCCCCGCCCGTGCTTTGCGCTTTTTTTTTTTTTTTACAGGGGACACGGACACGTACATTCTCGGTTGCGCAATCGAGAAATACCCCGAGCTTGATCAAGTGTGCAACAATCTCCTCCCGGAGGACGCTCAGCGAGAGGACGACGGAACCGGAGAGGGCGATGGCTGTACAGGCGGTGCCGAGCGCCGGGCGGCCGCCAAGCGGGAGGACGCGAGGCTCTACGAGCAGAGCAGGCGGGGGACGAAGAAGAAAATGAAGGGGGGAAGGCAGAGCGTGGCAGAGGCTACGTCCGTTGCCATGAAAACCGCACACTTAGATAATCAGCCGCACCTGCCACGTGGCGGATCGGAGAAATCTGAGTGGCGACTGGAACAAGAGGAAGAGGAAAGCAAGTCTGCTGCCCTCGATACCAAGGTTGCTGAATACGCTCTGCAGAAAGCAATGTGCGCCGACCACCAGAATTATTCGGAGCAGATTGTGGAAGAGAAGGAAAAAAAGCGGCCGGGTTGCCAGACGAGAGTAGAATTCATGAAACAAATGGTAGCAAAGCTCGAGAAGGAGATGTTTGGCGGCCAATACCACCCACATGCACTGCTGGACTTGCTTCCGTGCAATCGTCGAAGTGGAAGCGTGTGGGCGTGTGCTCCTGTTATGCAGGAGTCACCATTTTTTTTCGTAGCGTTAAGCACCGAGGATACGTGCGACTATGCAAAGACTTGTGAGTTTGGTTGGCAACAACAATTGAGAGGATGCCTTGAGGCAACAAAGGAGTATGAAGGATAACTTGTGATTGAAGAACGCCGAGACCGTTGTGGTCCACGGGCAAGCTGCTGTGCAGGCAGTAAACGAACACGATGGTGTTTTTTTTATTCCCACTCTCACGGCAAGGCTTGCTTGTTGCGAGGGCAGTGGCTATTTTTGTTGTTGTGGTTTCGGGGGGGGGGGGGGGGGGGG